GTCGTAACCTATTAGAGAGCCCTTTAAGCTGCTTAATTTATCAAACGGCTTGTATAGTGCATACTGCACTATAAATAGCCGGCTGCATCATATTTAACTGACTGCTCATAGGGAAACATACAACCTCCAACTAATGTAAATGTGCTCGTAACAACAGGATTTGACTCTTTTTAACAGTGCAATGAACTGTTATATTGTCCATGCCACTGTGGATGTTTTGTAACAATCTAACAAGCCATTTACAATAACACGAGCAGTCTTTTGAAATGAAAATGCATTTGCATAAATTTCCTTTTTGAGATGCAGCTAGGTTCTGAAACTTTATCTGCCTCCATATATAACCATTACTTTTTAAAAAATGATTGTTAACAAAGAAGAGTAAAAATAAAAGAATGAATCTAAAAAACTACAGCAGTTACCAACTTTTTGGTAAAGCCATAAAAAAAAAAAAAAGCAAGTCCCAGCTACGCATAAGGAGTAGTGTACATTGTTCCACAAGAGTCTTGGACCAGCATAATTCTATAATTCTCATGCTTGACCTGAATAAATTATCTCTCGGGCTGGAAATACAACTCTGTGCAAGCTTCATTCTTCAATCCAGCCTCCATACTGCAGGTCCTCTGCCAAACCTACATATAGAGGTACTAGTCACGGTGAAGACTTCGGTGAGTCCCAACGTCTACACAAGTCCACAACTTCCGTTCCAGTTGGCTCAGGAAGGAAAGTTTTTCCAAGCTACGATGACCCCGACTCATGTCTATGATGAAAGTCCCTGCAAAACCTGATAGTCGGCTGCATCGCCTGGTGCCACTTTTAATACGATCACTTATTGCAGCACTACACTCCCTTTGCAGATTCAAGAGAATAATAACTAATTGTCACCAGTCCCGAGCATTGTACATCACTATTGATCCATGAGGAAAAAGCCCGCTGAAACAGAGACAGCTGTTCTCACTCACCAGACATGCAACCTCTTATAATTAACTAATTTCAGACCTCTTAGAATTAGCTGCTAGAAATGCCAACAGCTGAGGCAAACAAGGAGGCCGCTCGGATCGGCTACAGGGGCAGCGACAGCTACCCACATGGCAGCAGAGAGCTGACAAAATAAATTCGAGGTTATTATTTCAGGGGCTTGTAGCACAACTTGCATATTAACTCTTTTTAAGAATGCTTTGATGAATTCAATTGAAGTGAATTAATTCCAAGTCAGATGAATACAAAGTCGAGACACGGCAGGTAGCACGTGTTCTTCGATCACTGAATATGCAACAGAGATGATAGGATTATGGTTTCCAGATTGTTTAGCCAGGTCTTTGAGCAATCAAGTGATGATGTCTGTCTGAACACGCTATTGTAGCTGGAACGAATATGAAATCTCTGAAGCAAAATGCAAGTCAATCTAATTTGTGCATGATTTTTTTTCTTCTAACTAGCAAGCTTCAAACTGTTATTTTAAATAGCTTTAAAGCCTTGATATTTAAGTTACACGGATGTTACTTCGTGACAAAGAAGAAAACTTTATGAGCCAAAAAATAGTCTTCAATCAGAGGGAAAACCATTTTGAATTTCCTTCTCACAAAAGAGAATGTGAGAATAATAGGGAAGGTTTGAATCAGTAATTATGAGTTTCTTGAATCTAGTAAAGAGACAAAACTTCAAAAGTAACCTTCAAGTATTACATTTTGGATGGCTCCATTTCTGGGTCATGGCAAAGTGCCGTTAGAGGAAATATTAAAATTTAGCTTTGCATAACAGTGTCAAATAGCACTATAATCGAGATGCAAAAATTGCAATTCAGTTGGAAAATATATATAAAAGAATTGTGAGAGCATCTGAAATTACAAAAGACCACCCTAGAAACACAAATATTTAAAAGCAAAAGGGGAATGCAGCCAAAAAATGTAGAACAAATGCAACGTTTTAGCAGAAGGAAGTACTGAAGAAAATACTTCCTATTGTCAAAGCAGTTGCCACCTTTATGACTCATTGATTTCAACATGATTCAAGATCATTTACTATCCTGAAAGCGGAAAATCCACATGGGAAGAGTATTGCTACAAGATAAAACTTAGTAATACCCTAGAAAGTATCCAGAGTACAATGACATATCGACAAAAGGTAAACTGGATAATCTAAAAGGCCTTTTTATATTCAGCTGACAAGAGTTAGTTATTCCACTATCAGGACAAATTTATTATCAACACTATAAAATACGAGCAGAACACCAAAGCGACTGGAAAAGAATTCTCACCTGACCAAAATCTTAGGTAAATATCTCAAATCAAAGAGCTACTCAGGCAAAGATGAGGCTGAAATTGCGGTTGCTCATTCCTTACAAACTAGAATTTGTCAAGTTTCATAAATCCTCTTTATCTCCAGCAAGCCAAACATGACCAGAGATACAGGAACATTTCCCAGAAAGCTCTTTGGCAGCTGCCTCGCAAGAGTGCCATGACTAAAAGAGTGCCAACTATTTTGATATGAAATGTAAATGTGCTTGAAAAAGAGCATCCAGAGTGTACGGTTTAGCTTTTTCATTTCAATATTACATGATCCTTCAAATTTTTCAGATTACTTAGGGAAGAGAAATAGGCCATACTTAGAAAACAGATTTTTGGTGAATATTCAAAAAGCATTTTATACATCCTCAGAAGACAGGCATTTACTGCCAGTTTGGCATGAATCAGAAACCATACAGAAGTATACCAGCTACCAAGCAAAATTCCTTCAAACACAATTAAATAGACAGTCCCAATGAGCAAGAGGTTCTATGCATGCAAACTTACTGATACGCTTTTTGCACTCCGTGGGAAGACACTTCAAGCAGGATGGAGGGACAACAGGTCTGACCAAAAGACTTAACAAGAGATTCAGCTTCAGATGCAGACTCCTGTATTTGAGTGTCTATATGTAGGGTCTCTATGCAAGGTCCAGACTCAAGCTCTCACTTGCAACCAATGGAGCACTCAACTGACCACGCGTAGCTCTTCCCTTATAGATGAAACGGGATCCTCTACAAGCTCCATTGCATTTGTAACTCCGTTGACCATGTCCACCAGCTTGTGGCCATTCTTGCTGACCATCTTTCCTAGTGACCACTCAGGAGATGGAAGGTTGCATTAATTACCCTGGTGCTGGCAATGCCTCACTCCTGGCCACCACGTTTCCCTCAATCCCTGCCCCATCACACCGGTACCCCCACATACACTGAAGATACACCACGGTCATGGTACAGCCACTCTGCACTTAGAGCAAGCCCAGTGCTTGCTTGCCTGGGAGATGTTAAGCATGTGCAGCCTTGGAGGGACTGTGCTGTGTGGTCCTTTCTCCAAACCAAAGGAACACAAATAGCCTGAGTAGCTATAAAAGGGAGACAGCACTGCTGCAAACTCTTAAAAGGGAGAGTTTTATCTAGCCATAAAACTTCAAGCTGTTCATTGCTTCATATCTGGACAAAACTATTTAAGCACATGCTCCATCCACACACAGTCATCTCGGTTTCACAACAAAGTGTTGTGGAACAGCTTGTGAAAACATATTGTTCAGCTAATTGCATTGGCATGCAGATGCCCTCACATTTGTGAATTAACATCTATCGTGGCAAAAGGATGTACAAGCAAACGCAGAGACAGTGGCTCTCGGCCCTGCGACTGCCAAGAGCTAGGCTGCCTGATGGAGTGCAGCCCATGAGCTCTGGGCATCTCTTTTCTGCTTCACCATTGCCAAAAAGGAGTCTTCAGGCAAAAACTCAGGGTGTCTTAAGGATACTAGGGTGCTTAAAGGTTCAAGCAGTCCTTCCTGACCAACTGACAGGCACCAAGGCACCTGAAAAATACCCAATGGCCTTGAGGATCTCTGCATTAGTTTACTGCATGCTAAAACGAAGAAAATCTATCTCTTATAAAAACCCAGAAAGTCAATGGCAAAGAAACAGCCCAACCACAGCGGGACTTTGAAAGGTATCCAAGTGTCTGTTATCAGTTGCAAGAATGTTATACTTCATCAAAGCTATGCTGCTCAGGAGGAGGTGAATGCAGGAAATGAAACACAAGATTTTATTTGACATGTTCTTACCGAGTATATTGATACGCTACGCAAAATATTACGGAAGGAAATTACCTGTGTCAGCGGCAGTATAAACGCCTGTCCAATAACCACTCAGACTTTCGATAATGGCCCTGTTAACACAGGGGCAATGAATATGTGTTTGTCACTTAAATACATCAAGCAAGTTACTACAAAACCCCCGAGATTAAACCTGGCACCTACTTCAACACACAGCAGAGAGAAACAATGGTTTTGAAATTGCAGGCTATGAGGCCAGAGAGTTTTCACAAGACAGGATTTGCAGCTTCTTTCCATCTTGCACACTTAGGAGAACGCAGAGCACTCGGCAGTGGCTTGAATCCCTGTGTAATTCACAAAGTTTTGAGTATTTTGTGACATGACAAATTGTTCAGGCATCTTGCTGCCATGCCTTTCTATTGCTGTTGCCTCAAATCTTCCCTCAAGTTTTTGAGGAGGAGGAGACGCTGGAGAGAAGTAGTGCCTGTTGGGAAGGGAGAGCTCTCATTCCCTTGGGCCTAAGACCTGTCCAGAGGAGTGCCACCACCATGGTTTACCAGCTGATTGTTATAGCAGTCGTGCACCACTCACGGAGCTCTCCCCTGCAAGTATTTCCTAACACAGACAGTCCTTACTACAGCTAGGATATTGGTCCCTTTACCCACTCCACTTATGTGAGTCCTCTCCCGTAGACCAAGCGGAAGGATGGGTTGAATCAAGTGTCACAGTAATAACTACGTGTTCTATTAATTAACTTTCTATAAATCAGTCTCTGTAGAAATATAAATATCGCCAGATTCAACCATGCTGGCAGGATCCATTAAGCCTGACTTCCCTCAGAAAATGATTTACTTTGTTAGAAAATAGCTGTCTCATGAAATGGTTGAAGGACAGAGGAACACTGTCACAGAGACACGAGCAGGAGAGCCTACCTGTGGACACTTGCTCCACTGTCCCCAGTCGGACACTGCGCACTCACTGGGACAGTACAAGCTGCACTTCTGCATCACCTCTGGGATTTCAGCCTGATTGCACAGGGCGCTGGGCACAGTCTCCCCTCCGTGGTCCTCAGCAGCACTCACACACCTACACAGAAACAGACACGTTCACTAGAGGATCATCAGTGTACTACACAGGCGATGGATATCCACAGGACTGATCAACCCCATATAGAACACCATATGTAACACAACAGCAATATGCAGTGTGGCTGGTGAAAATGGGGAATTAATGACGTTAATGCAAATCAAAACCAGCTACACACATAACGTGCTTTTGCTACTCACGGATTTCAATAAGTACTTTAAAGAAACATTTCAAACTTCATCCTGAAGGATTTTAACTTTGATTGGCTGGCAGACGAGTGAACAGAATGTGACAACGAGCAAGAACGAACCTTTGTGCTCCTGCTAGTAACATCGGAACATTTGGAAAGAACTCAGCATTTCCCCGTGCCTGGGGAATGAATACTTACTAATAATGATGGCCTTTCTGGTGCGTGCAGTGCCATCACTTGGGGAAAATGTAAGTAAATCAGAATATGGAGGCCATATACCTCTGGGGGCTTTATGTATATACGGTATTTAGGTTGAAGAATTCTAATTTAAACATCGTGCCTTCTTCCTGAAAGACATCTTGATCGTAACACAAGCATCTCTGAGACGCTTTTCCTGCAAACCGTCACACGTAAATGCATGTTTTTTTTCATGTGAAATACACTGGACTCAGCAATGTACTCACTGTCAGATGGCCAGATACTGCAGCTTTATGCAAGTATGTATCAGCTCTTTTTCATCTGGACTACCTGTGCTTTTGTCTTCACGCACCTGACTTTCCTCGTTTGTATTCCTTCTCCACAGTGGAGGGAATTTTGTTCGCTGTTGATTTTGCACGGAGACCACGGTTCTACTACCCAAGAATACTGATTGCACTCGCTGTAGCATGGGACTGCCTCGTACACCTGCCAGGAGAAAGAATCAAAACTGTTCATTTGAACTATCCAGGTTAGCATTGCTGCAGAAATGCCTCAGCCAAACCCAGGAAAGAGTACACTGAAATATATCCCGGCTTGTGCTTCTTATGCTAACAGTGCTGTAATAGCTTTAAGTTCATTTATTCATTATTGACTTGTCAAGGGATTTTTAAGTGTATAATAAAGAGCAGTATGCATGCAGCATCTTAGGAAAGAGGATAAATAACAGCTATTTTCTGCAGCCAGAAGAGGAACTCCATTGCAATTTCATTTGCTCAGACTGTTCTCGCTATAATCTATCACACATCATTGCCCAGGACCATATGTACCCCATCCTTTCCTGTTTCAGAAGGTACAAACTTAAGATCAGCACTTATTTACCTTTGCTTCTAACATATCCTTGTAAGTCATTCACCATAAAATAAGGAAATTTCATGTGTCCTCTACATTTCTTTTTTATACACAAAAACTATAAATGCTTTTTTCCCTGCAAATGACTTATCTCTGGTGTAACTCCTAATCAAACACACTGTGTATTCACCTGAACTACAGTATCTCTGTAGAGAGAAAAATACAGTCAAAAGCTTGAGAAACATTTTTAAAAGGTGCCGGATATTCAGGTTGTTGGAAGCAGCACACTGAGATTTAGCAGATTTTCCAGTTTAAACAAACAAATGTATGAACAGTTCTGTTACAGTAATGAATAAAAGTTATTTATTTTGAATCCAGTTTGTCTGCAGAAGCTGATTGAAGATACAGTGTTCTCTGGTGCTTTGTATGAAGGACAATGTGCTGCCCTGAAAAAATACAGCGCGCCTACAATTTCTTCTTCCACACACCGAAATCTCCTTGGCCTTGCTGCTGTGGAGCTGCTCAGTTCTCACCATTAAAAGAACTGTAAATCAATAGTTTTCCTGTCACTCCACCCTCCAAAAACAAAAAAAAAAAAAGAGAATTCAAGTACAGGTTTAATAATTCAGCTTTCTTTTAAAATCACAGATTATGACAACCAAAAAAAAAAAAAAAAAGAATTCAAGTACAGGTTTAATAATTTAGCTTTCTTTTAAAATCACAGATTATGACTATGCATGCTGTGGTCACAACAATAAAGAAGCCTGATTTGCAACATTTTGGAGGCGGAGGCAGGGAGATCAAGGTACCAGTCAGAACACAAAACTGGTGTCCTGTTAGAACATTACCTTCATGTCAGATGAAAAGAAGATAACTTGCTAAAGAAAACCCCTCAGGATCAGCAAACGTCAGAAACTAATTTTAAGTGTGGGTCTTTATAAATGTTGTGTATAGGTTTAACAGAGAGGAGAGAGTAAGATAGGCTAAAAAATGCAAAATATATGAAAGAAAAAAGAGAGGGCAACAGAAGGTGGAACTGATGGGGGCAAGTATGTCACGAACTAGTGAGAGCATCACGTTTCATGCAGGGGAAGGGGAAAGGGAGGGGAACAAAGGGGCCCAAGGCAGCAGTAAGATTAGTAGGATTTTTCCTACATTAAGCACAAATCCTTTTTCGCAGTCCGTGCGCAAGTAACAGAAGAGAAACTGCAAAATTTATTCGGACTATCATGGCAGGGCCGGAACATGCACAGCGATAACGTTTGGTACAACAACATCTTTGCACAAGGGAGTGGGGTCACCCCACAGCATTTTGGGGGGCACAGGAGGTGTGGAGCATTCCCAGCTTTCACTGGGGCTGCATGAAGGTCTTCCAAAGACCATTCTGCACTGCAGTCACTCAAGTTTGCTGAAGACACCAAGTTGTGTGGTGTGGTGGAGATGCTGGAGGGAAGGGATGCCATCCAGAGGGACCTTGACAGGCTGGAGAGGTGGGCCTGTGAGAACCTCATGAAGTTCAACAAGGCCAAGTGCAAGGTCCTGCACGTGGGTTGGAGCCACCCCAAGCACTAATACAGGCTGGGCGGAGAATGGATTGAGAGCAGCACAAGGAGAAGTACTTAGGGGTGTCAGTTGATGAGAAGCTCAACATGAGCTGACAATGTGCACCGGCAGCCCAGAAAGCAAATCGTATCCTGGGCTGCATCCAAAGCAGCGTGGCCAGCAGGTTGAGGGAGGTGATTCTGCCCCTCTGCTCTGCTCCCGTGAGACCCCACCTGTAGTGCTGCCTTCAGCTCTGGAGTCCCCAACACAAGAAGGACATGGAGCTGCTGGAGCAGGTCCAGAGGAGGGCCACAAAGATGATCCGAGGGCTGGGGCACCTCTCCTATGAAGACAGGCTGAGAGAGTTGGGGCTGTTCAGCCTGGAGAAGAGAAGGCTCCGGGGTGATCTTATTGCAGCCTTCCAGTTCCTAAAGGGGGCCTACAGGAAAGCTGGAAAGGGACTTTTTACAAGGGTATATAGTGATAAGACAAGGGGCAATGGCTTTAAACTGAAAGAGGGGAGACTTCAGTTAGATTTAAGGAAGAAATTTTTTTACAATGAGGGTGGTGAGGCACTGGAACAGGTTTCCCAGAGGAGCTGGGGCTGCCCCATCCCTGAAAGTGTTCAAAGTCAGGTTGGATGAGGCTGGGTCTAGGGAAGGTTCCCCCTGCCTATGGCAGGGGGTTGGAACTAGATGATCTTTAAGGTCCCTTCCAACCCAAACCATTCTATGATCCTATGACAAGGACTGATGACTTCTGCAGGCCAAGGCAGTGGTATTTGGTCTGACTACATGATATACAGGTATCTATCTATTGTATAAAGTGCCTGTGGAGGCCAAGCTTCCCAGGCTGAGCAGGCAGCACCAGAAGCGCCTCCAATTAGCTGTGCATCCATGCTCATTAATGTTAACTGGAGAATACAAGAGTAAAGAGAGAAAGTATGGTTGAGCAGGACCTGTGCTCAGCACCAGCATGCTGAGAGCCCGCAGGTGTGGTGGATGTGGCAGCACACCGAGCTCAGAGCAAAGCCTTGTCCCACCCTGGCCAGCCTGTTCCCTCAAGAGAGCTACTGACTCCTGCCACATGCAGGGAGAATAACAATCCCTCTTTGGACACTATGAAGCCTTCACGTTCCCCCAAGACAGCCGGGAGACGGATGCAGAGACAGGGAGTATTTATTAGTTTCCCTGCTCCACGGGAGGGGAAGGAAAAACTACACTGTGCCTGTGTTGCCTGACAAAACATACTGCTGTCTGCAGGAGCTGATCAGCAGAAGATCAGGTCATGCCTCCAGGCATGACCAGAGCTTCCCTCACCGCACAGGGGAGGCAGAACCAGGAGAGCGCAAAGCGCTGAGCTTCGGAGGAACCAGCTGCCAGCAGGCAGGGAACCTGCAGCCTGGGGAGGAGATGTCTCACCAGGCACTGCTAAGGGAGGTAAAACTTACTTATTAATAAGTTTATTAAGAGCTGAGTGGGTGCTTTTTCCTGCTCTGTAGACTTTGGAGGGAAAGACGAGGTTGGGAGAAGCCGGGAGGTGACAGCGCGGGTGCTGCCTGCCCCCCTCCGCAGGCATGGCGGGGCAGCTGGGGTGGGCACACACAGAGATATAAGAGTCTTTTCCTTGCTCTACTCCATAACCCTTGCTCAGGGTCAGAGGATATCACTGGAATTCTGCGGGTCACGATGCGAGCACTGCCACTCACCTGGCTGCGTGCAGCCCCGCTCCTTGCTCCGGCCAGACCAAGGGCTTGGAAAGCCCAGCTCGTCGTCTCAGTGACCTCTCATCGCTCTGCCTTAAGATCTGCCAAACCTCAGACCTCTCCGAACCAGTAAAGCCCACCTGCGCACAGCGGCAGCAGACTAACACCAGGAATTTAACACAAGGGCGTTTTGGTGGCCAAAACCTCCGGCAGCATTTACCTGATGTGAATTCTTCGTAAGGAAACCAGCAGGGTTTGGGCAGGGATGGGATGCCACCTGAACTAAAATCCATCCCAGGAAACGCGTGAGGGCAAAACAGAGACCCCACGTGCCGTGACACAAATACACGTGACGTGAAGTGATACTTCAGATGCGCTCTTTCAAAAGCAGTCAGGACCGCAATAATAAAGCCATTAATAAAGCATTTGTATTCTGCAGCTTATTTGTGTCGAGCCACTGTCCTGGTTTTGGCTGGGACAGAGTTAGTTCTTTTTAGCAGCTAGAAGAGCTCCGTGTTTTGATTCTAGTCTGGGATTCACTAAGAGAAGAATGCTGACAGCACACTAATGCTTATAGTTGGCACTGAGATCTCAAGGACCTTTCAGCTGCTGTGTTCTTGCCAGTGTCCAGGAGCACAACGGGATAGGGAGGAGAATGGCCGGGACAAAGGGTCCACAACTCCCCTTATGATTTGAACTTAGACTTAGGATTGAGGGCCAAAATGGAGTATTCCATAGCATGCAGCGTCATGCCCAGTATATAGATGAGGGATGACTGGAAAGAAGAGCTTTTGCTCTTCTGGAGGCTCTCACTCTCGGACTGCTCTCTCTCTTTTTGGGCTTCTCGCTCATCTGTCATTGCAATTTTGGGACTTATCTGTTTCAGGACCCTTAGTGTGGGATGGAACGGGCCATTAGTGAGGGAGGGTGAGCGAGTGACTGTGTGGCATTTAGTTGCCGGCTGTGCTAAACCACGACAGCCGGTATGATTACACGTGAAGCCTCATCAGCTCTCCTGCTCCGACAGACATCCCACTCTGTGCCGGAGGGCACACGGCACCGGCCACACGATCCCTGCGGTACCTTAATACCCAGGCGGTGTGCTGCTGACCCACTCAGTACTTCCAATTCAGTCAGGATTCCAGGTTACATTCACCACCAAAACCTCAAAATATAATTGCTACAGATAACTCATTTTCTTAAGTTACTGCGCTCCCATCACTGCATGCCCCCTCTGAGAACAACCTCCCTCCTCTGCCCTGCGATGGTGCCGAGTGATGCCACCTCCAGCAGTACCTCTGAGACAGCGGGAAGGTGTAAACAAAGACCCCGTATCACTGGGAGGGACAGATTTCTTCAGAGCAAGTTACAATGCATATCAGTAGACTCC